GAGAGAGAGAGAGAGAGAGAGAGAGAGAGAGAGAGAGAGAGAGAGAGAGAGACTAAAATGGAGTTTATGTCTTAGATCAGCTTATAACTAATTGTACAGTTAAGACATCTGACAGATTTCAAAAAGAATGTGACCTGCTTAAAACTGCTGAATGCCAATCTATTCAATTAAATCATTTATTACGTTCTCAGTTTGGCTCAGATGCAATGGCAGCCTTGGAAATGCCTATTGTTTTGAGGGTATTAGATGAAGTATTTTTAGAGGCTAACCCAGCAATTCACTTTTAATAATAATTGAAGTAAAATACAAAGATAAATACAAATAATTCATAGAAATCTGGAATAAAGAATTTGAGCTCTAAATAATAATAAATACAATTAATATCTTTTAAATAAACTTACAAGGTTGTCTGTCTGAAGGATTTATCAGTTTCATTCCCATAAGGTCATTGAATTCTTTTCCATTAATTCCACCGAAAATATAGAGCTACGAATGCAAACATGTAAGAATCCTAAAAAATAGTTCACTTAAAGTGCATTAAAAAGCAATGAACACAAATCACATTTAGGGAAATATTTATGTCATAGAATTTCCATTCTTTTCCTTTTTTTTTTTTTTAAAGATTTTGGATACTCCTTTCCTAATGTATATTTCTTAGAGAGATTATATATCTACAGGACAAATTGTGCAGTTTCTACTCTTCTCAAATCAGAAACAGAGAAAGGAAGAAAAAATCCATGGTCTGAAATGAAATTGGGCAGGCCAATTTTGCAGTCATTGTTCAGATATTTTTATTAGGTGTTCCTTTCAAGATGGCTACCTAACAGACATTCAGCAGATTCCTGCTAAATATTGGTGGAGATCACAAACTCACTCTGGAGAATTCTGACAGCAGATAATTTTCCATTTTTTGGCTCCAGAGCAAATTTTGACCTATATATTTTCACTTTTCACAAATTTCAGTGAACATGATGTGCTTTTATTTAAGGCTTCCCTTTTGAAGCTAAAATACAAAGAAACTCAGAAGATCATGCTGGGAGCCTCTGTGAAAAGTCTTTATATTTTAATTGGTAAATTGTCTCCATGCCAGGAAATCTGAATAGAACAGGTCTCTTCCATCTTAAAATAAACAAACAAACAAACAAACAAACAAAAAACAAACAAATAAATAAATAAATAAATAAATACTGGTTTATATAATTTAAAATTGTCCAGGCTGCCCTTTAGTTTGGCTTACAAAAATTCCAAATCCAACCTCATAATCTAAAAATACAGTTGTACAAACAATCATGATTTCTAACCAGTAAACATTAAACAACAGCAGGAATAAAATCAGTTAAAAGGGTTCATTACACAGATGGAAATTGCTAACTATTAAGATGTTTAAAGTTGTAGGAGAATAAATCTTTGCTGGGGGATCCCACTGGGGGAGGACATTCTGGAGCAGAGAAAGCTCACTCCTGGGCAATCATGGAAGGACATGGGAGATCATCTTTGGGTTCATCTTGAAAATGACCTAGTCACCCCTACCTCCTTTACAAGCATAGTATATTCATTGTGATCTATTGGCTTATGCTTACTGCTCTTTTAAAATAAGGAGATACAACAGCTTCCCCAACCAGGTTTCTTCTAAAAGCCATATTGTTTAATAATGCTAGGAATTTAAATTCAACATGTATGAGAAGCACAGGCCAGAGTAGGCTATGAGAGTTACTGGACTGGGACAAATTCAAACAGACCAAAGATGGCCTGTTCTCACTTTAAAATTATTTTCACTTACTTGATTATGGAGAATAAATGCAACATGATTCCCTCTGCAAGTTGGGGGGATCCCTATGTAAAGTGGCTTCTTCCATTTCATCTTAGCTATATAACATATCATAAATATTTTAAATACTAATAATATTAATGCAAATTCATTGGTAATACTGAAAAAAAGCTTTTGCAGCAGATTACATATGTATAGTCAATATTCTAAACGTGTAAAACGACTGAATATTTAAGGCTTTTATATAATAGCAAGATATATCACAGAAAGAGCTCTAACTGAAAAAGCTTTGAAAGGAACTATATAAAAAATACTAAGCTAATCATTCCACTGACTAGAAGAACAAAGGCAAATAAAAATACATTCTTTTAAAGAGATTGTTCTCCATTTTTTATAGAGGCTTGTTAATTAATTCAAGATTACTGAAACCAATCCACTATCTCAAATCAAAGATATACTGCAACAATATTGGAGTCAAATAGATTAATGTGAAACAAGGAGGAAAAGAAAAATGGTCAGCAACAGATAATGCAAGGAAATGACTTTGATTCTCTCAAAGAAGATCAGTACAATAAATCTGAAACCGATACAAGTTACCTTTCAGTTGTCATTTCTTTCAAAATGCTGTATCTAAGCTTATGAACAGGAATCACTAAATGGCATCTAATTTTGACCGTGCGGCTTACTAAAACTGATGTATTTAATCTAAACCTGATTGATCCTGGAGATAGGTTGCCAGGTCTGTAGATATCACATTGTAGGGTTTATTCCATGGATTCATGCTTCCCATTCATGCCTATACATGGAATTTTTCCCTTTATTTTGCAAACATCCTCTATATGAAGAATGCACAAGATTCAGACTAAATTGGAGCCAGACCTTCTCCACTAGCATCTTGCTTTCATTTTAAGTCCTTATTGTGGTGCTTTCATTGTTTTCTCATGAATTAGTTGAACAGCTTGGTGAAAATGCTTCCTCCCCCCACTTCTGTAACTCATAAAAGTTTATTACCTGTTTAAAAACTTCTGGGGGACAATATCAAACTTTTTTTGCAGACATTTTTGGGGATGGGAGTGGGGCAGTTTTGACTTGTATTTGCCACATTTAAAAAGTATGAACAAAATATGGAACATTCAAAGGGAAAACTTCAGCATAAAGGATAACCATTCAGAATTAATGAGCAGAAATTAAATAATATTTGATACGACCTTAAAAGTTAGAAGATTTTTTGTTCAAAAATATATTTCCAAATATCAGCTTCCCAAAACAAATTTCAAATAAAATATTCATTCTTTCCCATTCATTCCTCTCCCTTACTCACCTAAACTTAATTTCATAGTATCATTCTTTGGAATGGTTTTACCAACTTTGAACTCAGAAGTTCCTCCAAACAGATAAATGTCCTGAAAGGAAGAACAAAGGCAGATATGACCATGCTAATTTATTTAGCACTTAACATTTTGTTCTTCATAGTTATTCTTCTTTAGCAGGCCATCACAATAACGATTTTTAAAAAGATATCTCCATTAACTGATCCCTTCATTAATGGGCATTTTGTAATATGCCAAACATCTGTAACATAAAACTCTTTCTTTTCAACCTTGAAATTGTTCAGAAGAAATATCTTAGCGTTATGGGGACATTATTTCTCCATTTTGCTTCACAAAGGACTTATCACCTATTCTGGGTTCCTATGCTAATATAAAAGAGTCCTAAACTACAAACACATTGCTCAAGGGATACTAAGATTGCTTCCAATTGTTGATGTCTGGAAGTTTGCTGTGAGCCTTTGTCTTGCCCTGCACACCTCACTGAACCTCTGGGGATACATGTGGACTATTATTGCTAGTTGCCTTGGAAATGGCCAATGTCTGCTAATTAGCAATCTGTTTAAAACAAGCTGGACTGGAAAGCAGCCAACTCCCCTGCCTACCTCTCCACCTCACATTTCAAAGGACTCCAAATGATAGGTGTGGTCTGCTAAACCACAGAGGCTTCATTTAAGTCTCAATAACATGGTTGAATAACACATTGTGAAATTCTAAGCACATCAAGATGGAATGGGAGGTGGAAGAGGTTAAGAAAAGAATGGACAGGAAACAACTGCATTCTGCTACTGCAGTCTTCCCATTGTTCCTTAAGTGTCATTTCAAGCCAAGGGACTTCCTAGGAGAATGATCCCTGGACCAAGCCATGAGGGCAGAACCTGGATCCCTGTCAGCTCCTTGAGCCTAATACTCAGAAGGGAATATTCAGCTGAATACCAGGTGATTATATTCTTTCCACTTCTGCCTGTCAGATAGAAGCTCTGCAGGGTTCCCCACCTTGTGGAGCAAGCAAGATCTTGCAGTGTTTCTCTTGATATTCTCTCATTTTCTGTGTTCAGCGGACAATTTCTGAAATGGATCTGTCAGTGATGTTTTGGTGGAAAACATTACTGATGCAGTGGATGTCAGTGACGGGTGGTAAAAAAAAAAAAGTGCATAGGTTTTGTCCTTCTCTCCTGGTATTTCTATCAACCCCTTCAAGGCAGGAAGATTTGGCAAACAAGAACCACTTGGATTCTGGAAAAACCTTTGTTGCTAGTAGAGTATTGTAATAGAATCTGTAAAGTTTATCAAAGCAATTATCCAGCTTAAATTATAACTACTGTAGTGGAATTAAGGTGAAGTTACTCTAATTTTCTTTCTCATGCTTTTCCCTTCCTTTAGACACAGGGATCTTTTCTGTATCCTCCTGCAACAATCTTTTCCCCTCCTACATGTTCTCAGGGTTTGATAGACATTCCATCACAATTTTCCTAAAGATTCTCTTGATAGAGGAAGCATTGGAAAATATAAGAAAGAGATTAAGTTCTTCAGCAACAGATGTACACAGCATTTTATATAAAAATTGAATAAATAAATAAAAATAAATATAACTGCAAAGGCAAAACAGATATCTCTGCTTTGAAAAGCCATAAAGGGAACTGTGACAGCTAAACCTCCTTGCTCTCTAGCATAATTTCTAGTAACTTCTTCCTAACCTATAACAACCCTGCAGATTTTTTCTTTTTTGCTTGCTGTCCCTGTTCACATGTCCCCCTCCCATGAATGGTTTACAATAGATTAGCAACAACTTCTGACTCCCAATTATTTAGCAATAGCAACATCAGATGGCTCAATTCACACATAAATTAAGCTGTAATGTGGTTTTTCTGTTTTGGGGTTAAGCCTAAATAAAACTTAGCATTTGATACAATCTCACTTCTCTATGGTTTGTTCAAGTATGGTTTTAAATAGTCTCGCCTTGTGTTACGTATGAACATGTTTTTTCTGTAGAAAAGGTGTGCACTCCATTGAGTTCTAGTATTCAAAACAAATTCAAGGCCCACAATTGGTGTCAAGATTTTGGTAGGTGGAGCTCTGGATCTCATAGAAGTAAAGGCAGGTTCAGCAAGTTTGAAGGTTTTGATCTTTGCTATGAGTCCTATTAAGGGCAATTCTGCACTGCACTTAAGTTGCTTCTCGTCCATGCAGTTCTTGGCTGTTTCTTAAGCCAGCGTCAGAAATTACACTTTGTGTTGCAATGAGTTGGCAGTTGGGCTGGGTTTGGACCATGGCCACCACAAAACATGACTGGTTGTTCCCCAGATGCTTGCCTTTCCTATCTGTGCAGAGAAGGCAAGTTTCACTGGATGTCTCCTGTGGGGACGGTCTACCACGTACTGCCTTTTCCTTTTCAGAATTGCTCCCTCCTCACTAGTCCATGTGACTTTCCTCTGCTTTCCCAGATATTTGCACACATGGATGCCTTCACCTTTCCTTTCCACATTACTTCCTTTGATTCTAACTCAGACCCATTTTTCCCCTTATGATTGCATCCTGGCTCTTATGCTACAATAATCAGAGCAATAGGAAATAGGCTATTCTTTTGCTCCTATGTTCCTCTGTAGGTCTATGGAAATTTTGTAGCATCTACAAGGAAGATCTAATAATTGAGATTAACAGAAACAAGTAACAGTGTTCTTTTCTTTCAACCTAAAGATGAGGAAGGAAGGAAGGAAGGAAGGAAGGAAGGAAGGAAGGAAGGAAGGAAGGA